CGATTATCCTATCTCTTCTTTATAGCACTCTGTCTCAGAATTTAGCCTGTCGATCAATTCGTTTTAGGTTTCTCAGGTACAGTGGAGCAGAGGTCTGACAAGAAGGCTCTGGTTGAGCACCACCACAGAGGCAATAAATGGTTCCAGTTTCTCAATAAATCAGGCTCGGTGCTGTTGGTGTTCGCATAGGAGCACGGCCCGGTTCCGTACTAGTGGGAGAAATGGTATATTCTACGTAGAACTATTTGATAATAAGTTGAAGCTTGCGTCTGCAAACGAGAGGGGAGACACCAGAAGTGTGTGAGCGCGACTGTCCTCACAATAGGGTCCTATGTGAGTCAAGTTCGAAATTGACTGGCTAGAAAATGGCTCGAGTCTGGCCGCTTTGCTCATTTGTGCCATCGGGATGGCACAAACCATTGGAAAGTACTTCTTATTACGATACGCATATTGTAAAGTATAACTGCCAAGGAATTAAAGAGAGGAGGTTTATAACAAACTAGCCGAACACCACAAAATGCAACCACCTCACTAAACCATGAAACCAGTCACGCAACAATATTAGACAGTATTATAGATTTCACCAAAACGCTCCAAAACGACAAATCGGTAGAAAAAATCTCTAAAAATCGACACCTACACACTCTAATATGTTTATTTCAATACTTCAAAGTTCACATAGAAATCCAGTTAGTATTCGTGTCAAAAACGTGTTCTTAATCACACAATCGCAACCATAGAACTCAAGCATGTCGACTAAAGAAGTACGAGCACACCTAATTGTCATCAGAAACGACTAAGCGTTTATATAAGCACCTAAGTCCCTCTAAATCCACCTGTATGACATAAGGGTAAATCAAAGCTCTAACTTTTCAACCATTATAGTACCTTATGACAACCCGAACAATTACCTCGACCAAAAGACTACTACAACTACTATGCTACACAGGTATGGTTGCCACCTAGTTGTGTCACCCCGCTCCACTGAGACCTAACCTGTACACGTAGTCCGCGCACTCTAACTCTTACAATTAAATACTGTCATACAATACACCGGTAATATTTGACAATATACGTCTTTCACAACACAGCTACCTAAGGCCACTCTTATCAAAACTTTTTCACATTGCAAAGCATTGTACAGCGATAAATCGTCTTAAATTATGTTGTATTTTGGTTCGGACACATTCTAACTGTTCTTAGCTTCATACAGACTGGAAATATTGTAAAATATACCGTACATTATGCGACTCATAAACATCACTGTTTGTTATCCCTCAAAGATGGTCTCGATGCATATTTCATTGAAACGTTTTGTACGCTGCTTTACCGCCAACGCCTCATCTTGTCAACCATTCACGTTTTCAAATTATTTTTATGCTCTTTTGCATAACAAAGGTGATCTGTAACAATTATTGCATTTTTCACTACACTTTATGCATTCCCGTACCGTTTTAATGGAGTTTTTAAGGGCTCGGTCATTTGCTCTAAATATACTGACTGATACTGACTAAAAATCTATCTTAACCTGTGTGTTGACGTGGGCGTCAATTGCGTGGGACAAAGTCAACGAATTTGTGACTGCAGTCCAGCTGATTTAACATCTAGTCTCTCCTTCCAGCACAGACGGCCGTAGTTGTTGGGCCCCCTTCCCC